CAGTGAGATCCTATCTCAAAATGAAAAATAAAAAGGGCTTGGGATATAGCTCAGTGGTAGAGTACCTCTGGGATCAATCCCCAGTACTGCAAAAAAAAAAAAAAAAAAAAAATTCTGGATAAATTTTTTTTGTAGATATGTAATTTGTAACTCTTTTCACCCATTCAGTGGATTGTATTTTTATTTCTTCTCCAGTAACATTTAAAACACCAATGTTTTAAATTTTGTGCCTTTTTTAAAAAACTACATCCTCAGCCCTTTTTAAAATTTCTTATCTAGGGGACCGGGGATATAGCTCGGTGGCATAAGCACCTGCCTGGTAAGCACAAGGTCCTGAGTTCAATTCCTGGTACAGAAAAAAAAAAAAAGATAAAATTTCTTATCTCGAGAGACAGGTCTCACTGCATCACTAAATTGCCCAGACAGGCCTAAAACTCATGATCCTCTTGCCTCAGCCTTCCAGAGTGCTGGAATTACAGGCATGTGCTAACATGCTCAGCCCCAATGTGTCTATTTTTCGTAGCTGTAGTTCCTTATACTTTTGTTATCACATCTAAAAACCATTGCCCAACTAAGAGTCTCAAAAATTTACTCCTGTTTTCTTATACGTGTTTTATAGAAAGCCTATTCCTTCCTGCATTGGATAGTCTTGTCACCTTTGTTGGAAATCAGTTGATCATAAATATAAGGAATTGTTTCTGGCCTCTCAATTCTATTCCACTGATCTATACATTGTCAGTATCACACACACTTGATTACTGTAGCTTTATAGTATGTTTTAAGATCAAGAAGGGTGAGTGCTTTAATTGTACTATATGTCAGGATTGTGTTATTCCCGTGAAAGTCCACACAATTTTAGTATCAGACTGTCAATTTTTACAGAGAAGCCAGCTGGGGGTTTTGATAGGATTATGCTAAATCTGAAGTTTAATTCAGAAGTAGTGTTGCTCATGAGTAGTATTGTCCAGTCAATGAACATAGATTTTTTTTTTTTTCCCTCGAGACAGGGTCTCTCTATAAGTTGCTCACTCTGGTCTCAAACTTGTGATCCTCCTGCTTCAGCCTCCAGAGTAGCTGGGATTATAGGCCACCATGTTTGACTAAGGATTTTTTTTTTCCCTTTTTCAGGACTCTTCTAATTTTTTTCTTTTTGAGATAGAGTTTCATTATGCAGTTTTAGATACTTTTTTTTTGTACTGGAAATCAAACTCAGGACCCTGCACATGCCAGGAAAGCATTGTGCTACTGAATTATATCCCCAGCCCTTCACTATGTAGTTCAGGCTGGCCTTGAGTTCACTTTGTAGCCCAGGCTGGCCTTGAACTAACAGCAATTTTCCTGCCTCAGCCTCCTAACTGCTGGGATTACAGACTTACACCACTGTGCCTGGCTCCTCTAATTTCTTTGCACAATGTCTTCTCATTTTGAGAATGAATTTTATCTTTCTTATGTTAAATCTATTCCTAATTATTTTGTTCTTTTTGGTACCACTATAAATTGAATTGTTTTCTAAGTGTCTTTCTTTTCTTTCTTTTTCATTTTTTGGGTTTTTTTTTTTGGTTTTTTTTTTGGCTTGTTTGTTGCTACTAAATAGAAATACAACCAATTTTTGTATGTATATTGTTCTTGTATCTTGCGAAATTACTGAATTTGATATTAGTTTTAGTAATTTTAGTGGACTTCATAGGATTCCTACATATAGGAGCATGCCATCTGCAAATAGGCACAGTTGTGCTTCTCCCTTTCTGGTTCTTTCTTCTGTACTTGCCTTGGCTAGGACCTCCAGGACGGAGCTGAATACACGTGGCCAGAGCAGACACTGCCGCCTTGTCCAGGTCTTAGCGGAAAACACTCAGTCTCTTATTATTTGATGGGTTTTTTGTTTGTTCATTTGTTTTGTTTTGCTTTGCTTTTTT